TATAATGCATTACTCATGATTGAGAGGAAACACCAAGTTTTTACATTGATAAAAGAGTATCAAGAGAAGCTTGCTAATAAGTTGTTTGCTATGTATGATACAGTAACTTTATGGTCTAATAGAGTGGGACCAAACATCAAAGCTAAGTTGAAGGCAAGTGTAGCCAAATTTGACTCAATGCATGTTATGCATTGCTATGATCATGAGTTTGATTTAGAAATATGCCTGGTGCTATTAATCTTTTGTTGAGGGAATATGCTTGCAAGGCATAGGAAATGACTAACTTACCTTGCTCACTTGCATGCACATGTATTAAAAAGGTGAATCATAGTGTATACACTTATGTTGATGAATGTTATTTAAAGGCATGGAAAAGTTTGAGATTTGCATGTAAATTAGTAGGTGGAGTTCATGCCTCATGAGTAATTTACATGTAATCCCTAGTGCATTACATGTAAATTAATCACACAGATAGGGCACCCCTATAGGTGGCCGAGATTTATATGGAAATGTCTGAGGTTTACATGTAAATTAGTAAGCAGAGTTCATGCCTCATAAGTAATTTATATGTAATCTCCCCTGTATTACACGTAAACTAGCACATAGAGAAGGCGCCCTTATGAGTGGCCAAGATTTACATAGAAATGTCTGATGTTTACATGTAAATTAATAGGTGGAGTCATTCCTCAAAAGTGATTTACATGTAATTCCCCTTATATTACATGTAAACCAATCACACAAAGAAGGCACCCTTATAAGTGGCTAATATTTACATGAAAATATTTGAGGTTTACATGTAAATTAGTAGGCAGAGTTCATGCCTCAAGAGTGATTTACATGTAATCCCCCCATATTACATGTAAACCAATCACACAAAGAGAACACCCCTGTGAGTGGCCGATATTTACATGGAAATGTTTGTGGTTTACATGTAAATCAGTAGGCAAAGTTTATACCTCATGAATGATTTACATGTAATCCCCCTTAAATTACATGAAAACCATACCATAAGACACCACACATCCTTTGATGCAAAACTTGAATACAAGACCCCTTGGACACTTTTCCTCTCCCTCACAGTAGCTTGCTTTATCTTCTCATCATCCTAATAGAGTAAAGCATCACTTAACTCAGCAACATTGCTACCATCCAAGGGAAAGTTTTGAAGAAACATAATCTGAAATCATAATGCTAAAAGGTTGTCATGTACATAAGTTAATCAACACGTAAAAACAATCAAATAATACTACTTACCATTAAGAAATAGAGGCAGCCACTAATGTATAATTTTTTTCTCGCTATTGGTTGCAACCTTCTTTTATTACTCAACCTCCCACTCTTTAACAACAAATTCACTCCAATTATAGAAGTCAAACCTATTTCTTGCAAGAGATGATCTTCACCAATCGTGAAGTCACTTTTCCTCTTGTAGGAGGACAAAGAAGCGTACCCAATATGTATTGAACATCAACAACTCGAACGAATCTTCTTCATCGCCATTAATGATCATGTTTTTAATAATGTCCGAAAATCTATGCCCAACATACATCCCTTTCAACTCATTATATAGGTCGCCAACTTCTTTGAGCACTTCCCCTCCTTATTTTTATAGACCTATAAGCATGTGCATGTCATTGGCATCAACTTGTTACTTAATCTGCCTTACTAATAACATTCTTGCTTCTGGGTGAATTGCTCTCAACAAACTTTTACATAGAGCATGGTTTATTTGTGTACACTTAATATCAAATAGCTTCCTAAAATAAATTGCATTGGCCCTTGCCATTAGACTTTCTCTTTACTTCACATGTTGAGCCAATTTCATAACTTGCTTAGGTGAGCAACGTGTGAGCAATTTCTCTTTCAATGTTTCATTAGATGAAGACATGCAAGCTCTACGATGCCTTTCATCCTTGACCATTTTGTTGAACTGTTTCCTCTCTTCTTCATATAGATTTTTTTTACCCCTTACTTGCTTCCTCTGCAACATTTTTAAGACCCTCCACCTTGCCTTTATTTTTCAACTCGTGTGAATAAACATGTAATCCGCTAAGCCTCGACTGACTTGCATCCCTTCCCTTAACCATAATTGCCAATTGCCAAATGCATAAAGTACAAGTCCTATGCAATTGCATAACATAAGGTCAGGTACTACTTGACATTGAAGACAATTCAATCACAATGTAATCATGTGCATTATGTGTGTGTTAGCATGATCATTGGCACGTAATTGTCACATAGGCATGTTAGCATGATCACACATTATTTTACATGATATCACATAATGGTTAACATGGAAGGTAGGTAGGGGCATGAAAAGGTTTATTCATTTTACATGAAATTCAGTACAAATAACATGTAATTTTTACACACTCAATTTTGTTCATGGATTAATTTATATGAAATTTTTGAACAACACTAGGTTTAGGCAATTGGAAGTTCATGGTCAATCTCATTTGCAAATTTTTGAATAAGCTTAAATGGCGCGTATAGCAAAGGAAGCAACTCAGAACAAGAGAAAAACAGAACAGTGCTCGCTCGGACAAAAAAGAAGCTTTCAAACACAATGTGTGCCTAATAATTGTCACTTAGGCTGCTGCCACTCTAAAGAAGCTTAAAACTCTTTCTGAAGAAGCTCAAAACTTATGGCTGAAGACTCATCAATCACCAGCCATTTGATTAGGGCACATGCGAAGAAATAAGGTTGTCTTTCTTCGTGCTTATCACCCACAACTCAGTCACACCTCATACCACCATTGATTGTCTATCAGAAGCATCCCTCACTGTCTTCTCTCATTCAAATTGTGCAAAGAAAGGAAGAAGAGAGGCTAATTTCTTCTTCAAAATTTTTGGTTTTAGACAGGGACATTTTCATCTGACCAGGATTTATTAAAAGAATAAAAAAAAAGAGCACCTTCAACAAACTTTGGTCTGTGGGACCAATTTTGGTTACAACCTGGTCCTTTTCACCAATTTTTCCTTTTTAAAATTATTTTTCAAAACAAAAAAAAAATAAAATATGTTTAATTGTGTTAATTTAAAAATCAATTAATGGTGATGGTTATTGATAATTAATGATAGTGGATTATGGGAGTCATTGGTTAAGATAACTATAATTTTTAATCAAATGTGATGTTTTTTGAAAAGAAATAAGAAAAATAAAATGAAAACAGCTTTACTATGTTTCTATATTTTGTTTTAAAAAAATGATAATAATTTTAAAAATAATCAAATTCAAATACTTATTTAAATAGGTTCTTTACTTTAAAAAAAGAAAAACAGAAACCTTTAATTACTTGCGTGCAAAATATATTGACAACCTTCCTGTGTGCTAACCCAACAACTTAGTTATGATGAAAAGTGAAAAGATATTGGAAGTTGTTGTAAGTATTTTGGCATTAATTAATGACGGAATTTTCAATAAAATTTGCAAACTTCAAATATAAATTCAAATAATTTTTTTTTGAAACATTGTATTAATATGAGTTTTTTTATTTTGATTTAATAATAGTCCAATGTAACTCAATAATGTCAAATATATAATAGTTTTAAAAACAAAAGAAACAGATGAGTTTCCTGGGGCAGTGTACAAGATTAGGTGTTTATAGGGTCACAAATTACCCACTTGTGCATTCAAAATAGTTTGAGATGATTTTATATTATATGATAAATTAGGTTAAAAACATATCTAATAGTTATATACATATAATATGTTTGTTTTCCATTAAATCAAATGATAAAGATTTTTTATATATTATTTTTTTATAAAAAAAATATTATTATTAATATTATTAACGTTTTAAATTCTATTTGTTGTAATCTGAATTTGACAAAAATATATTAAGGCCTAGCCTTATTTGTAACAAAGTAAGTTGTGTTTGAATTTTAATTGGGTATAATTGATTAAGAAAAAAATTGATTAATATGATTGATTTGGAATATAATTGATTGTGTTAATTGATTTATAAAATTTATTAATAATATTGATTTTAATTGGAATTGAAAAGTAGAATTAAAAATCAAAATTGAAAATAAGGTAAAACCATAGTTTTGTAAAAATATATCCAGACACCTATGCTACATGTTAAAATCAATTATGAATCCAAAATCATATTTGCAAAATATCCAAACACTTATTATACATGCAAAAATCAACTATGAACACATAACCTACTATTGCTTGCTTTTCAATTCAATTTTTCAATTATACATTTCTAAAAATTTATGCAAAAATCATATAAATTATTTTACAAATCATATTTTTTTGGCTCATAATTGATTTTGACATAATAAGAAGTGTTTGAATATTTTTAAGAAAATCATAATTTTAGGTTCATAATTAATGTTAGAATGGGTCTTTGGACATTTTTAAGAAAATATAATTTTAAATTCATAATTGATTTTAACATGTAACATGACTGTTTAGATATATTTTTATAAAACCATAATTTTAACCTCTAAAATTGACTCTGAATTTTATCCAAACAAGCACGTAAAAAAATTAATGAAGGAGAAAATTTCACTCAAGACCCTGTGACCATACTTAATTAAAAAAAAGATTCCAAAAATACTGATATATCACTACAAAGTAGGTGCACTAATTTGATATTACATTTCACAACCAAATGATAATATTGTCCCTCATTAAAAATTACACAGTCAAAAATTGAGAGATTGAGTCGTAGCGAGCCATAATTAAGGGGATTGAGTTACAAGTGAATTAAAAAAGGAAGGACTAAAAAATTAATTTTTTTTAAGCTTTAAATTTTATCATATAAATTTCAAATAATAAGAGTTCCAAAATTACTGGGGAAAAAAATTCTAAAAACTATGCAGAGAACTTAGTAAAACTATACAAATACCAACTAAAACACGTATCTATAATCTCCTAGGTGAAACAACGACTAACTAATAACAAATAAAAACAAACCCGTACATCAGAGTTTTGCATCCAATGCACGTTTTACAAATGTATTCTAAATCCATTTTCTTGATTTTCTTCAAATTTTTGGATGAAATCTGCGTCTGCCATACATAAATTCTAAAACCTTTTTTCCATATTGATCAGTACATAGATTTCTATAATGTTGCAAAATTCTGTTCACCAATATATGATACAGAGGTCCCTGCAAAACCAAAACAAAAGACTTAGTATCCACACAAAATATAAAGATTACTACAATAATATAATTTAATTAAGGGATAAAAACCATTTAGATAGAGAGATTTAGTTGAATCTAACCTTAGAGCATTCTAAGGATCTCTGAGCAACATAATTGCCATAAGAGTCTCGAAGAAGATACAAAAATCTAGGGCTAGCCATGATCTCATGAACTATAATTGCAACATTATTATCAGTTGAGAATTGCAATAGATGTTCCACCACATTACTAGCATGCTTGTCCATTGACAAGTCAACATATTGACCTCTGAGTTGATTCACTATATTTTCATCAAGTCCAGGCATCCTCATCTTAATTACATATTGCACCACATAGTTCCTGTATATATATAAATAACAACATAATTATCTTACAAATATTTACTTAATTATTTCATGTAAAAGAGTGAACTTGTTATATATATATATATATATATATGATTAAATAATAGAAAGTTGAATTGAAGAATTAAAGACAAACTTACCCATATTGATGTGGTGCTAAAAATGATGCGCACTGGCTAATTGCCCAAATTAACAAGAGAGATGACTCAGTCGTAGCAGAAGATAGACATCTTTGGAGAACAGAACAACCTGTTTTGTCTGTGGCAATTCGAGTGCACTCAAATGCCATTACATCTAAAATATTCTGAAAATATATAACAAGGGTTATTTAGTTCATTCAAAAGATTGGTTAACAAATCATAATCAATATATTTACAATAATGTAACTGTAGGTACAACATTTATTTTAATTGTGTGTGTGTGTGTGTGTTAATAACTGTATATGAAAAAAATTGAGGGATGAAGAGTTGCATTAATATTAATTACCTTCTTAAAAGGAGAGGGACAAAGTTCAATAAAATGCTGAATGACATAACTACCATATTGGGAAGTGGCCAATGGGACAATAATTCTCTTCAAAGCATATGTAAAGAGAAGTATTTGACTTTGTGTTGTAAAATGTTCTATCATGCTCTGCATAACTCTACTTCTGTAACCAAAAAAAAATAGTCAAAAATATATTGAGTAATTACAAGCCAAAACAACAATAAAATATATCAAATTACGTGATTTTTTGTTGAAATTATATATTTTACAATAAATAATAATTTTAATTTTAAATAATTTAATTTCATGTTATATAAATCATAAAATGAAACAAAGGTATGTATAGTTTGATTTAAAAAAAATAGCATACCCGATACAATTTGTGCAAACAATTTGAAACTTGAGCAAATTGATAGTGATTGATTCAAAAAAGGAGGTCGTCTGATCCACAGTGAGTACATCAAAAATCTTTTGAATTACACGACTTCCAAATTGATCCATCATTAGATCATGTAAGTGATCTATCACCTCTCTTGAAATGAATTCAATATCTCCAGGGTTCTCCCTATCCAACAATCTCACCAAAAAGTCACTCCCATCTTCATCTTTTGACATTGAAACCACCCTTCCCCTCATGGCTTCTAGTGATGTTATGGTATTATATCTCTGCTGTCTCATCAACATTCTTCCAAGAGTAGAAGAATCATAACCATGCCATGTTCCAATACCAAAGTTTCTAGCTAGGGTTTGCTGACTCATACTGTTGCCATCATGGCTTGGTCCAATCCCAAAGTTCTGAACTTGGACTTGTTGGCTTCTATTATTTCCTTGAAGTTGTCCTTCATGAAGATGGCTTGGTCCAACAATCCCAGAGTTTCTAGCTAGGTTTTGATGGTTTATAATAATAATATTATTATTATGCCCATATGGTACTTCATGATTAACTTGACTTGGTCTGATCCTTGAGTTTCCAACTAGGGTTTGCTGGTTTGTACTATTTCCATGTAGTCCTTCCAATGTAGAATCGATTCTCAAGCTTTGCAATTGAGCCTCCAATTGATGCAAGGATATGGGATTGTTATTTTCATCATCTCCTATGTTGTTACGAGAATTTTGATTTTCTGCATGTTGACTGGTCAACACAGAATCATCATTCAGGTGGTGATTTTCTGGAAGCTCATTGGTAGGGAAATGAGAAAGAGATCCATTTTGAAGAAATTGATTATACTCTTCCATTGGTATTCAAATAAAAGGAATTAGTTCCTAACCAATTAAAGTTGGTGTGAGTGATAAGGGCTCTTGTCACTTAAATAATTGGTTGGAGGGTTTAAATCTCACTCCTTGTATATGTAATAATTTTGGAAGAGGTTTATCCTTTGCCTTCTGTATGTTAGGAGGATATTCGTTTGCGTCAACGAAATCTGCTCCTTATACTATCTCCAACAAAAGGGAACAAGTTGCTACAAGAAAAAAGTATTTATTTTAAAAAAAGAAGATAGAAGAGAAAATTTTGTCCGAATAAGGGAAATAGTAACTCCAGATTGTTAATAAAATACTAAATAAAAAAAGAATAAAACAAGACAAAACAAAAAAGAGCTCTATGTGTAATTTTCTATGTAAAAAAGTTTTGAAAAGTCCGTTAAAACTTAAAAGATTAACGTTCTCTAGCTATTAATTTGTAAGTAATTGGCACAGTACGAGAGCATCAGATCGTTATCAAATCACTGTAAAACTACAATTCGAATCACTCTGTCTGTTCTGTGGGAACCCACATTTTTTCGCATAAATTTTCAAATTCTTGTTTGAGTTAAAAATTAATGACACGCAAAAATAATGAAGTTTGTGTTTTAGATAAAGAAGGGTGTCATGTGCAAATCAAATAATGCTTCCTTCCTAATCAAGAAATCAAAGTTGAACTAAATATATGTTTGAATTATTAAAGAGACAAATATCATCGAAAATTAACAATTATGTAACACAAAAAAAAAATTCATAAACTATAAATAATAAATTCTGTAAATAAACGAATGGTAGGTTCTTGAGTTTATAGAACTTTCAAATACTTAATTCAGAGATTTAAGTTATGCTTTGGTACATTGAAGACTTTTTTTTTTCAGTTTAAAGGATCTCTAAACTTGTTTAAATAATATTTTAATTTAATAAAAGATATACCAAGAAAAATCAAACTAAGAAGGAAGAAAGGAAGAAGGAGCACCTTATAAATTTGGACGACGATAAATTAAGCTCAATAAACAAAGTTAGACTTTGGAGTTTTGGATTAAGACCTTCTAGATTATATTTAAAAAAAACGAAGCTCTCAAATTAAATAAATATGGATAAACAAAGGTAAATCTTAGTATTATTGGATAAACTAAAAATCATATCATTATATAGATTATATAATTATTATAAATATTTAAAATAAATTAATGCTCTCAATTTAATGGATCTTTAAAAAAACTAATTAGTTAATTGTTTAAGTCTGATTTTACATTATTTTAATAAATCTAAAGATAGATATTTCAATAATTTTATTGTTTTTTTTATAGATAATTATGTACTTCTAAAAGTTTTTGAGTTATCGACAGCTATTATTAAATTATTTTTATCACTTTGGTGAATATAATATATATATATATATATATATTTAAAAGGTACATGCATGTTTAAAATTTAAGATAATCAAGATTCATTTTTTTTTTATGATAAACATCTTGATTTTTAAAAGTATTCAAAATTTTAATTCAATGAACTAACTACAAGACAAAACAAAACTCATAAAAAAGCAACAGCAAAACAGTTTTTTTGATCAAGAACAACAAAACAATACTAACGAAACGTTACCTTTCCTTAAAAAAACAAAAAACAAAAAATTCTTTTGAAAGCAGAAAATAAGTTTATATTACAATTTAATCAAACTGAGATTTTTATTATAAGATATTTAAACCTTAGCATCACAATTTGAAAGCATCAGATCGTTATTAACTCACTGTAAAACTAAAATTAGAATAATTGTGCATGTTTTGTGGGCACACTTTTTTATTGTTTTTTTTTTTTTTTGAGAGTTGAAAATCAATGACACAAACAAAGATCAAAGAAGTATTGAAGTTTGTGTCGTAGATAAAGGAAAAGGTGTTATCTGCGAATCAAATAATACTTCCTTTCTAATCAAGAAATCAAGTCGAACTAAGTATATATATGATTGAATTATTAAATAGATAAGAAAAAAACATATTTATTGATCCCTATAGTTTTAGTTTTGTTTTTAATCCATGTAATTTGTTTGCAGTGTTTTTAATCCTTACAATCACTATAATTTAACATTGTTAGGGACTTAAGAAACAAGCGTCATTCAATCTTACTAAAACTATAGAAACTGAAAATATTAAAAAAAAAACTACATGAAGTAAAACTCGATGAAATTATAAAAATAAAAAATTAACAATTTTAACAAAAACAAAAAGTCACAAATTATAAATAAAAGATATTGTAAACGAAGGGTAGGTTTCTTGAGTTCATAATTTTTTTTTTCCCAAACACTTAGCTATAAGAGATTTAAACAGTATTTTCATTCAGTGAAACATATTTCAGGAATAATCAAACCAAAATAAAGAAACAAAGGAAGAAATCAAGAAAGGAAAATAAAAAAGAAGAAGAAAAAGAAGAAGTACCTATGAAACTCAGATGACAATAAACTAAGCTCAGAGTCAGTAAAGTTAGACTTTGAAGTCAAAACATCCTCTTTTATATAAGAAAAGAAGCTTTGGCCTTTGAGATTAAATAAAATTGGATAAATAAAGATAAATTTTAGTAAACTATTATCTATCGGATAAACAAAATCATATAATTATGTAGATTCAATAATTATTATCATTAATATTTTAAATAAATGACTAGTTTGGTGCGATTCAATTTTTGTTTTACATTATTTTAATAAATGCAATAAAGAAGATAGATATTTCAATAAATTTTGTTGCATAAATTTTTTTTTGTCGTAGATAATTATACTTGTAAAAGTTATAAACTGTTATTATTAATTATTAATTTATTTATATCGCTTTGTTGAATATAATACACACACCCCCTCATCATATAGGACAAAAATAATGGCATTGATATTAGAATTTTTTGATTGGAGGCATTTAGAATTGATCAAAGGAGTTGAATCAATTTATTCTGAATTTTGAATTCAAGTTCTGAAATATGTAATTACATTAAATAAACATGCTGAAAATATTCATGAGATATTAAATTGTAAATTTATTTTTTGTTTCCAAAAGTGTATAAAAAATTTAAACTTTAATAAAATAATGAAAAATACAGTATAAATTGTGATTGCTTCCAAGTTAAAATAGAAATCGTGATTATCTTAAATTTTAAACCTATATCTTTTTAAATATATATAGATTTTAAATTCAACATAGTGATAAAAATAAATTAATAATAACAGTTGATAACTCTTAAACTTTCAGAAGTATAATTATCTATTATGGCTATAGCGAGAAGCATTCAAACAGCTTGCCGCCATAATAACAATTTTTTATCTCAAATTTACAAATTTGTCATTCAATATATTATTATCACAATTTCTTATTCAACTGTTGGAAAAATTGTGTTAATAAAACTGTACAGTTGGCGATTGAGCTTTATTCGTAGCGCCACATAAATATGAGCTTGGCTTCAGAGTTCATCAACGTTTAGACTGTCTAGATTTTTCATTTGGACGGTCTAGATGTATACATTTTATTTTTTTATTTTATATTTATTATAACAAATTATAAAAATTCAATAAATCCAATTTATTATTAATATGGATAATGAAAATTTAATTTGGATAATCAAATTTAATCTAAATTTTTTATAATTTTTATAAATTGATTATCCAAATATATTCTTAACATTCTAGATTTAATATTAATTTTTTTAACATTTTTATAATTTTTCTACTAGTAACTATAATATTAAAAATAAAAATAAAGATAATATTCAAACTGACACTTTAAAAAATTAAGAAAAAATTAAAACTTAAAAATTTTAAATCTTGACTCTCCAGAATACAATGTCCTGTTGTCCTAATTGATGATGAGATAATTTTATCAAAATTTTATAGTTTTTATTTTAACAAATATAAAATAAAATATAAAATACAACTAGTAAATCTGGACCATCCATATTCTTCTTGTTCATAATCATCTAATGAGTACTAAAATTGAACGCCAAATATGAGCGTTCAACTCTTTATTTATATATATATATATATATTAAAATAAATAATTATTTTTTAAAATTTATGATATTTATTAAGAGTAAAAAAGAAAATCAAAAAAAATTTTAAACGATTTTAATGATGTGGCTAACTTTTCATGATTTTAACGAATAAGTGACTTATTATGTCATGGTGCAGTGTGTAATTAAGTTGTTGAAGCCCCATTGAACGCAGAAATAGTGAATCGACTTTGAGGGAGTTAGGTAGCAGAAATTTTGTCGAGATTCTTAGAGCTACAATAATGTTGGCATTATTTATAGTTCAAGATCAATAATAGAGTTGAATAGAACCATAGTATATTCCAAAGCTCTACCATCATATTCATCTCAATTTAAATAGCTCTCCCTTGAATATTCATACTTTTATTATGTCCTTGGCTCCCAAAAAAAAAATAAAAAAAATAAGAGGAGAGAAAATAAATAAAAAATAAAAAATAAAAAAGTGGAGGGAGGATCCGATTGGTTTTTTTTTTATCATTCTTTACTTTTAAAAACTCTTTTATAATATAATTTTCAAAACTGTTTTTAAAACAAAATGAAATGAAAATTCATTCGGTTATTTTAATTAAAAAACAGTTTTAGAATAAAAAAATGAATTGATAATAATGATTATAGAAAATTAATGGTGGTAATTAGTAATAAAAATTATTCAAAGTAATTATAATTTTTAATAACTAAATGTAGTGTATTTTAAAAATAAAAAAAGAAAATAACTCAAAGTTTTTTCTATTTTTTATTTTTAAAAATAAAAAGTAAAATCAGTTTCAGAAACAACTAAATGAAAAATACTTATACAAAAAAATTTTTAAAATTTTTTATTTTCAAAAAAATAGTTTTTAAAAACAGAAAACAAATAGGCCCCTTTTTTTTAAAGCCAGTAGTTTGAGTTAAGCCTGATGGGCCAGTCCGAATCCACCCAAAAAATTGAGGACTAAGCTTAAAAAAATATTAATTTTTTATTATTTGGGCCT